CTGGCTTCGAGTTGCTCAACAGCGTTTACTAGCTTAGGCGGCCGCTATAGCGCCCGTTCCAGGGTATGTACGTTAATGCAGCTAGATGCGAGGGGTATCGAAACTAGCGTGGCTGGCTGCAACGCTCGCTAATCCGCTGCAATAGTATTACACTGTTTTATAAGTGGTTGCAGCGGGTTGTGAGGCTGGTTGCAGCGGGCGCTACTAGCTTATTTTTTCATGTTTTGGTATTCTCCAATATTATTAGTCTCTTGAAATACAATATGAAAAGAACTTTTTTTACTATGCGTCGCTGACTAAATAAATTTTTGCTGCCTACTTATATGAGGAAAATCAGGGCCACTTAGTAACAACCGAGTGTTCGTGAATGGTGCACTCTGCATCCTGGCTAAAGGTTGTATCACGAAAGACAACTCCTCAAAATCATCAGCAGTAAAATATGTGCGTGTGGGGTGGGGGGTGGGAGTAGGTAGGTTGGCTGTGAGTGTTTATACAACAAGCCAAGAGTTGTTTGTTAAGTGGGGAAAGCAAGAAGAAGGTAACTTGAGGGTGGCTGTGAGCGTTGTGTGGTTGTTCAAGCCGATTGTCAGCAGCCAATGAAGCAAATACATTTTCTTTTGTACATATGGAGGCGAGAGAGAAAAGATAAGTTTTTGTCATTGCCACGTGTGTGTAATCTATCACACTACATAGGGAAACAAAGTACCCAAAGTATGCAAAGTATGTAAAGAATGTAAAGAATATAAAGAATGTAAAGAATATAAAGAATGTAAAGTATGTAAAGAATGCAAAGAATCTAAAGAATATAAAGAATGTAAAGTATGCGAAGTATTTAAAGCAACTAAAGCATGTACAACATAGGTACGCGTGAGGAAAAGAAGAGAAGTAATTCTAGACAAAGTATGTATAGTATACTTTAAGTATTGTATTCCATCGTATGAATTGACCGTACTCATACATTGTTTGGTCATTATTGCCACCAATTCTTTTGGTCAATTTATTATCAATTAGTCTTACAGCAATATCGGGCATATATATAATTAATCTTCTCATCGGTGTTATTGGTACATTACGTTGATCAAATTGTGCATTTTTCATTAATTCTTCCCAATCCTTATAATGAGATAATAGTAATTTTTCAACAATAGGTTCATGATGACTTTCTATTGATATATCTAAGCAATTATAACTTCTTGCATTACGAATAGTTGCATCAGCATTTGTGTAATCTAATAAGTATTTAACAACTGGTAAACATTCGTTTTCACATGCCAAATAAATGGGTGTAACACGTTTATTATCAAATGAATTAACATCCGCACACTCGTTTCTATTTTAACTATTTCCATATGACCTATAAACAAGAGTCAAGAAAAAGTACGCGTACACAAAATTATGCATTTTTCTCCAGACTAATTGAACTTGAAAGAGAATTTCTGCTCCGACTTTTTTCTGTAGGATATTTTTGTCCTAGAGTAGAACAATGGAATTGTTAATGTACGTATCCTCGTAAGCAAGACATCAATGTATGCTTTTCTTCCTCTCAAGGAAGAGAAAACAAGGATAAAGATGATCATATTGTCAAATTCTTAGATTAACTTTGGGTATCTCTAGTATGAGGTAGACCGTTACCGCCGTTACTCTGGTAACTCTGGTAACCGTGACTGTAACGGGTAACGATTAAACCAAATGGATAACTTTCAAGTTTGCTTAATATGAATTCTGACTTAAAATGTTAACTGCAAGCATTATTCTTGCAGAATGAACAGAGATATATTTCTAGGTATTTACTAGACCTTAGAACTATTCTCAGGAGAAAACCTCTCGAGGTGATTAAAAGCTTTTCGACTCAGACTATTTTCATCATGTAGGGAATAGTCAGTAGTGAAAAACCCTAAGTTGGTTTGGGCCCATGCGCCTTTTTGACAGAGATATGAGTTAATTAATGAAAGTGCCATTAACCCTAGTACTACCAACCAGGGTCCAAATGGACCCTGTTTTTGAAAAGCATAGAAAATACTGTAAAAATCTTTTCTTTTTATGGATGGAAGTATGAAAGACATTGTGAATAATATATAATTGTCTCGTGTGAAAGAAATACGTATTTGATAGAATATCATTCTACTATGCACATATTTTCCTTTCCTTTCTTATCTTCTGTATT